CTACTTGGAGGTTGAGGCGGAAGGATCGCCAGAGCCCAGCAGGTCGAGGCTGCGGTGGCTGGGAGCGGCCACTGCACTCCAGTCTGGGCAACAGAGTGAGACTCCAACTCAAAAAAAAAAAAAGAAAAAAAAAGTCCTACCTTAAACAAAACAAAACCTTTCTCTTCCTCCTTCTCCCTTGTTGTGCCCAGCCAGTTCTGAGAAACTGCTAACTTAGCAGCTTGTTATTGAGCTGTGAGTTACCCTAGCTCTTACAGTTGCAGCTCAGTGTCCTAAATCCTTTATTTCTCCACGGCTTGAATACCTTCTGAGAAGTGGCACTATATTTACCTAGAAGCTAGAAGGAAGGCCTGGAAAAGATTCTTTTCTAGTGTCTTCAGAGGCAGCATGACCCTCTACAGGCCACCTTGATTTTAAACTTCTAGCCTCCAGAATTATAACACTTTTCTGCTGTCCTAAGTCACCTAGTTTGTGGTACTTTGTGGTAACATCTGTAGTAAAAATATGCAAAGAGTAATTGGGGAAACCCAAAGCCATCTGACTTAGAACCAAAGTCTTTCCATCACACCAAGCTGCTATTAGGGTGTGGTATACAGGAGAAATGAGTAATAAGTGAATTCCAAGATCCCGGGTCCATCCACAAATAGGGTACCTTATTTTCTTAAAACATAAAAACACAAAAAGCCACATTTATTGAACCTAATCAACCCATATTTCTGTCTTTCTACAAGAACAATTTTATATATATCTTTAGGGCACATATCAAGCCCCTCCTTCAAATGCAATTTCTAGATCTTGGCATTTTTTGAGGCAAGCTTTCTTAACATGCTCTATAGGGAATGACTGTATGACCAAAATTATGCTAGGCTAACATTAACAATATCTTATGTTTGATCCTTATTATGTAGTATAATCAGGAGCATGTAATTCAAAACAGACTATATATGTAACATGTTGTGTTAGGCTAATCATTCATTTCACACTTTAATAATTTTATATGCCATAGTGAAAAAGCCCCATTCATTTCTATACTAAGACTTTTCTGTTATCTTTGATTAAATATGAAATATATTAGGAGCATGATTTCACATGTAAAATTTTATCAACAGAGACGTAGTTCCAAAACTCATCAAATCTATCGGTTTTGCAGTATCTATTAAGGCTTGAAATGATACTGAAGGCTTTTCTGTGGTTTGCTATTGTTTCATTACTATATGAATTCTCTGATGTACAGTGAGTTGTGACTTCTGGATGAAGGCCTTCTCACATACAGCACATCGATAGGGTTTCTCCCCAGTATGAATCCTCCGATGTACAACAAGGTCTGACTTCTGGGAAAAGGCCTTTCCACATTCAGCACATATGTAAGGTTTCTCTCCTGTATGAATGCGCTGATGCCCTGGGAGGTGAGATTTCTGAGAGAAAGCTTTCCCACATTCGGAACATACGTAAGGTTTTTCTCCTGTGTGAATTCTCTGGTGTCCAATGAGATGCGACTGCTGACAGAAGGCTTTTCCGCATTCACTGCATTTGTAGGGTTTCTCCCCAGTGTGTGTTCTCTGATGTATGATGAGCTGTGACTTCCGGGAGAATGTCTTTCCACATTCGGTACATTCATAGGGTTTCTCCCCAGTATGAATTATCTGGTGTATAATGAGTTCTGACTTCCTGCTGAATGCTTCCTCACACTGAGCGCATTTGTAGGGCTTTTCACCAGTGTGAATTCTTTTATGTATAATAAGGTGGGACTTCTCACAGAAGGCTTTCCCACATTCGGCACACTCATATGGCTTCTCTCCAGTGTGAGCTCTGTGATGTATAATCAGCTGTGACTTTTGGGAGAAGGCCTTCCCACACTGATTACATTCATAGGGTTTTTCCCCAGTATGTATTCTCTGATGTATAATTAGGGGTGATTTCTGGGAGAAGGTTTTCCCACATTCACTACACTCATATGGTTTTTCCCCAGAGTGAACTCTCTGATGAATAATGAGGGAAGATTTCTGAGAGAAGGCTTTTCCACATTCAGAACATGCATAAGGTTTCTCCCCGGTATGAGTTCTCTGATGTACAATGAGGTGTGACTTCTCACTGAAGGCTTTTCCACATGCACCACAACCATAAGGTTTCTCTCCAGTATGAATTCTTTGATGTATAATAAGCTGTGATTTCTTGAGAAAGGATTTTCCACATTCAGTACATGCATAGGTCTTCTCCCCAGTTTCAAAGTTCACATAATGAATAAGAGACTGTTTATTGCTGAGAATCTTTCCACACTGAGTGCTTTCACAGTGCTTCATTTCCTTATGAATGTTTTCATGCATAGAGCAGAAAGATCGGTAGCTAGGTGTTCTCCCACATTTAAAATTCTCATCAGTGTTTTTTCTTGCATGACACCTATTACAACTGAATGGGTTCATATTAGGCTTCAAGCTCTTTTCAAATGAATCACATATGTACAGTTTTACTTTTGATGTATTGAGGTCTGTGCAGTCATGAAATAATTTTCCAAATGTATTAAATGGATGGCCTGACTCTTGAGTAACTGCTTTGTTGTTGATGACTGTGACTTGCCTGAGAAGTTTGTCTTGGTTTTCCTGATTTCTCTCCAGTTGGTCATTACCTTGCCAGATGGAGTATATTGAATAATCCCTTGGGATACTTTTCAGTACCTCCTTATGAAAGAGGACATCTCCAAATCTATCCAGTTGAGGGGTATCAAGTCTACTTTCTCTGTCTGGAAAAAAAGAGATATATTAAAACAGATATTAAAATAGATTTAACAGAAGACACAAGAGAAAGAACAAGTAGAGGATCTAGGATAGTCTAGGAGCACAATTAGTTGGAAGAGGGTCAGGCCATTTAAAACAAAACATAAACGTTTATGAAGTGAATAAACTTACTTCTAATGGTGGTTTGTGGTAGTCCTAGACTTCCCCTCAGAAAACAAGTTTAAAACAGAATAAGATAATTTCTAAAACAACCAAATAAGTACAATGAAAAACTACAAGGGCAGGCCACAATTTAGAAAGTGTTTACTCATCCACCAAAAGTTGCTATTTCAGCTGGGCATGGTGGCTCACACCTATAATCCCAGCACTTTGGGAGGCAGAGACGAGAGGATCGCCTGAGTCCATGGTTTGAGACAAGTCTGGGCAACTTGGTGAGACCTTGTCTCTACAATAAATCAAAAAATTAGGTAGTCATTGTGGCGCATGCCTGTATTTCCAGATATTTGGAAGGCTGAAGTGGAAGGATTGCCTGAGCCCAGCAGGTTGAGGCTGCAGTAGCTGTGAATGTGCCACTGCACACCAGCCTGGGCAAAAGAATGAGGCTTTGACTCAAGAAAGAAAAAAAGCCGCTATTTTACTAGGCATGAAAGTAGAGTTTATGGCATTCTTTCCTACAGTTTTTCTAGTTCCCACCCCTAGTTCTTGTGGCATTCAAAGAGAGATGTGGAAAACTCAGTTTGATACTGATAGTAGAGCAGCTAAATATTTAACAAGAATTTGGAAGCAAAAGGGTCATTTAAAAAACTGAACTAAGGCTGGATGTAGTGGCTCACACCTAATATCCCAGCACTTTGGGTAGCTGAGGTGGGAGGACTGCTTGAGCTCAAGAGTTTGAGACCATTCCAGGCAACATAGTGAGACACTGTCTCTACAAAAAAAAAAAAATTAGCCAGGCATGGTGGCATACACTTGTAGCCCCAGCTAATTGGGAGGCTGAGACAGGAGCATTGCTTGAGCCCAAAAGTTGGAGGTTGTGGTGAGCTGTAATTTTGCTAACCTGAGTGACAGAGTGAGATCCTGACCAAAAAAAAAAGAAAAAGAAAGAAATAACAAAATCTTATATCCCTACCTAGTTGCTAAAACATTTATGCAAGAAGACCCTAGAAAGTCCAGCAGTGATAAAAATCTAGGGAGACTTGCAAACTTGTTAACCCTTTGTAGCATTCCAATCCACATATAACTTAGGCATCAATGTGTGGAAGCTTTACTGGCTTTAGATGTCTAATATAACCTCTTTCCAATTTGCTAGGTCTTCCTTATTTTATGCAGGTGTAAAGGAGTCTCAGAGGAGGCCAGGATTAACAAAGTAAAACAAATGTATTAAAAAGTAAGCAGAGGCATCAGCATTGGCACATTGTGGGGAAAAGAGATGTCATAGTTGAGTCCAAGTAAGTTAATTATCCTAAAATAAAAACAACCACTGTCAGAAGAACAAGAAGAATCCAGAAACAGTACACCATTTATATATAACATAGAGTTTCCAACCAAAAATTACGAGACACAGAAAGAAGCAGAAAATGTAACCCATATTCAGGAGCAAAATTAATCCATAGAGATGCTCCAAGTGGGTGCAGATGTTGGATTTAGTAAATAAAGACTTCAAATAAGCTGTTGTAAACATATTCACATACTTAAAGAAAAATAAACTAATGAACAAGTAAACAAATAGATTATTTCAAAAGAGAAAATATATATACAAAAATACCAAAAGAGTAAACAGGAAATTTTAAGAGTAATGTAACTGTTCTATATCATGATTGTGATAATATTTAAATGACTCTATGCCCATAGTCAAAATGTAAAGAAAGAGTAAACTTTATTTTATGTAAAGTTAACAATAAATTTAAAAAGTAAAAGAACTAAATGGAAATTCTAAGGTTGAAATGAAAATTTCACCAGATGAGCTCATTGGTAGATATGAGAAAGCAGATGGCAAAATCAGAATCAGTAAACTTGAATATCACCAGAAGTGATCTAATCCAAAGACAACAACAGCAAAATTTAAGAAAAATATACAGAATATCAGATACTGTAACATAATATTAATCATTCCAGAGTATGTGTAATTTGAATGCCAGAAAGATGGGATAAAGGCAGAAAAAGTATGAAGAAATAGTGTTCAAAATATTACCAGATTTGGTAGTAAACATTAACTTACAGATCCAAGAAACTCACCAAACCACAGGTAGGATACCTAGACAACTAGACCCATCATAAATAAGCTGCTGAAAAATAAAGACAGAGAAAATCTTGAAAGCACAAGACAAAAATGACATATCATGCATAAAAAAATCATAGAATTTTCAGTTGACTTTTCAAGGAAAAAAATGGAGGCCAGAAAGCACTGGAATAACAAAAGTGTCAAAAACAAATAACTTGTCAACCAAGAATTCTATATTCAATGAAATCTTCCTTTAAAAATGATGGTAAAATGAAGACATTTCCAGATGAACAAAAATATGTTGCTAGCAGAAGAGAACTATTATCTGGCTGAAGGCCAGTGGTAACTCAATACACAGGAAATTAAATTTCAAAAAAGATGTGTGTGCTCTGGTTTGAATGTCCCTTAAAGTTCATATGTTCAAATACATGAGCCCTAATGCACCAGTGTTGACAAGTGGGACCTTCAAAAGGTGATTAAGTTGTGAGGGCTCTGTCCTCATGAATGAATTACTGATGTAATCTTGGGAGTGAGGAGTGTTCCTGATAAAAGGATGAGTTCAGCCTCCTTTCCCTCTCTCTCTCAGGCACTCTTGCTCTTCTGCCTTCTGCCTAACAGCATGAAGGACCTTGCAGAGTCATGTCCTTGAACTTCCCAGCCTCCAGAATCATGTGCCAAATAAATTTCTGTTCTTTGTAAATTAGCCAGCCTGTTATAACAGCAGAAAACAGACTGAGAAGTGAGCAAATATGAAGTATTTGAATATGCAAAGTTTTCTTTTTCTTTCTAATTTATTTAAAAGACTTTTTAAAGCAAATATAACATTATTTTATTGTCAAATTTATGACATATATATAAGATTTTAGAACAAAATAACAAAGCAGCACAGTATGGTTGGAGAGGGAGGAGAATGGAGCTATGCTTGTGCAAAATTTTACTATATTACTATAAATTTTACTATATTTTACAAGAGGAAAACTGTCGGTATTAACTTGAAATAGGTTGTAAGAAATTAAGATCATATTGTAATTCCCAGATTAATACTCCTCTCACACACATAAACAAAAGACATTTCCAGATAAACACATATCTAAAACTATTGCTAAAAATTCAACAGGACTTAAAATAATATACCAAAAAATATTGTTTTAATACAAAAGAAGTCCAATAAAGAAGAGAGACCAAAAAAGAAACTAAACAAAAGGTAAAATGGACAGCATAAATCAGATCAAATCAAATCAAATCAATAATGATATTAAATAGGAATGCAATAATATTCCAATCAGAAGACAGAAACTGTAGACTGGAGAAACAGTAAGAACCAATTACATGTTGTCTAAAAGACACTCACTTTAAATTCAAAGACAAACAGGTTGAAAATAAAATGATAGGAAAAGATACCATGCAGACTGTAAGCATAAAAGAGCTGGAGCAGGTATATTAATATAACCTTAATATAACCTCAAGACAACAAATATTATTAGAAACCAAGAGGAACATTTCAAAGCATATTGCCAAAGGATCAATATAGCAGTAGATTAGGGGATATGGGAAAGGTGAACAGAGGGGTGACAGCTAACAGGTACAGGCTTTCTACCTGAGGTAATGAAAACATTCTAAAATTGACTATGGTGATGATTGCACACATCTGTGAATATACTAAAAACTACTTTATTGTTTACTTTTGATGGGTGAATTGTATGGCATGTGAGTCATATCTCAAAGCTGTTAAGAAGATAACAAAAAGTCAGGGTGTGTAATATAGTTTGGATTGCTGACCCCTCCAAATCTCGTGCTGAAGTGTGATCCCCAGTGTTGGAGGTAGAGCTTAGTGGGAGGTGATTGAGCCATGGGGGAGGATTTCTGCTGAATGGTTTGGGGCAGTTCTTGCAGTCAGGAGCGAGTTCTTGCTCTTTTAGCTCTTGAGTGAGCTGATTGTTAACAAGAGCCCAGCACCTCCCTTGCCTCCCTCTCTGTGTGATGCTTCTCTCTGCCATCTGCCATGAATGGAAGCTTCCTGAGGTTTCACCAGAAACAGATGCTGACACCATGCTCTTGTACAGTCTGCAGAACTGTGAGCCAAACAAATCTCTTCTCTTCATAAATTACCCAGCCTCAAGTGCTCCTTAATAGCAAGGCACATGGACTGAGGCAGTATGGCTAAGAAAACATCAACTCTCTGCATCCACGCTATATCCAAGCTTACATTCCACTATCCCCAATAAATATCTCATATTAAAGCCAAGTAAGCCTAGCGAATTTCTGCCAGAAAAGCCATGCTGATTCTCAAGGCTGTGTACATGATCTCCTTTCCAGAGCTTGCCTATAGCCTGCTCTTTCTGCTTAACCCACACTGAAGATATGATCCAGAGCAGCTGCTACATGCTCTGGAAATTGCCTTCATGAATTCTGTCTCATCTCTTTAGATTATATTTTTCTCTGAATTCCTAAAACAGCAACTATGTAATTTTAGATAAGCATGAATTTTGATGACTTGCCTTTCCATGTACAACCCATGTTCCTGAAAGGCATTTGCCTCTACTACCTTTGACTTTCTTTTAGAAACGCACTGCTAAATTTATGATTGTTGAGTGGATAAATAATAAACATCTCTTCTGTACCTGGCTCGCTGTTAATGAATTAGTTGTGGAATGCCTACTAGGTTCAGCATGGGAGCATGAAGGAATAGGAGATATAGTCTGGGTGGAGATTTACGCCTCAGCCACCAGCCAGTTAAAAACAAAATAAAACAACAGAGCTTTCACTGCCCTTATCTCCGTCTGCCACATTTGCACCTGGATAGATCCAATTTGGTCTGTCTCTCATTATGATCCATGGCTCTCCTCCTTGTTCCAACTTGGAGATGACATCTGGTTTGGAAACTGGACCCCCTATTAGAGAGAAATCATGGAGGAATTGTGTTGACTACACTGTAAAAGGAAGAAAAAGTGCAGTTTCAGGATTGTATAAAAAGTTGCCCAGGTGGCCATTGCAAAGCAATGACCTTCCACTAGAGGTGGGCAAGAGAACACTAAGTCATTACATATGTCAGAAGCACCCCCAATGAGAGGGAAGAAGTGCTGGGTTGGATGGCTTGGAGTCATTTGGGGAAGCTGTCCTTACCCACTGTGACCAGGTGGCTATAGTTCTCCAGCATCACGTCCCTGTACAGGGTCCTCTGTGCAGGGTCCAGGTGCTGCCACTCCTCCCAGGTGAAATTCACAGCCACGTCCTCAAATGAGACTGGACCCTACAACAGTACATCCTCGTTCAGGCCGAGGTGATCATTCTCACCATTTCCACTACGGTATGCAAAACCATGTGCCCAGTTCTACATCAGGCCTTTTGAGAAAAAAAATAATGTAAAATTCTGTCTTTAGCAAAAAAGAGTCAGACACATCAGGAACACAGAAAAGTACAAAGATCACAAAAGGGACTTTAATAAACGGTAAATACAGTATTTCTAATAAATAAAATTTTCAACAAATGGTTTTGGGAAAACAAGACAGCAACCAAGAAAAGCTGAGAATTTACATTTGGAAAACAATACACAATCCGTAATTTCCAGATGGTGAAAAATCTAAACATCACTAATTATTAATCCAGACATTCCAAGAGGAAGGAGGAAGTTCAAAGCCCTTTCATCTCATAATTTTTACCTTTTTTATATTGTTTTAAATGTTTATACCAAGGATACATAATTTGGGTCAGAAAAAGGAGATATAACGACTTTATAAATTGAAGAGCAGAGAAAGAGATGGTGCTGAGTTGGGGAACGAGCCCACAAACCCTGAGATCACAGCAAAAGCTGTGGAGAATCAGAGACTTCTGCTCTCCGAGGTTCTGCCAGTGAATTATAACTGAAGAACTACCTATTTGAGTGAGATATTCCCCTCGAAGACCAATGGATACTCATCATCCCATCTTATCTAGGTGTTACCTCTGGGAAAACTGTGCCATGGAAAGGCTTTAGTTCCCTATGAATAATATGTAGGAAATTCAGCTCTAACACGGTGATAGCTTCCCTCTAGAAGAAATATTTTATGAGACAAGCACAAAAACATCTTGATATATTTATATAGGAGTATAGGTAATAACATCACCTATAATTTTCTTTTAGTCCTAATGGTAGGAAATATTTTCTTCTCGTTAAAAATTCAGGTGATCTTTTTTTTTTTTTTTTTTGAGTTGGAGTCTCACTGTCGCCCAGACTGGAGTGCCTCGACCTACTGGGCTCCGGCGATCCTTCCGCCTCAGCCTTCCGAGTAGCTGGAATTACAGGTGTGCGTTACCACGCCTGGCTAATTTTTTGATTTTATTGTAGAGATGAGGTCTCGCCTGCCCAGGCAGGTCTCGAACCCATGGGCTCAGGCAATCCACTCACCTCAGCCTCCCAAAGACGCGGGATTACAGGCTGAGCCACTGAGCCCGGCTGGGTGATTTTTTTGGTGCAGAATGCAAATCATATACATCAGGTCCTCTACCCATTTTTTTTTTTTTTTTTTTTTTTTTGATTTGGAGTCTCACTCTGTTGCCTAGACTGGAGTGCAGTGGCCGCTCCCGGCCACCGCAGCCTCGACCTGCTGTT